GCTGGTGACTCGGGAGTCGGGACAGAGAAAATGTCAGGAGTTTGGAAGTATTATAAAATTGAAAGCGAAGGCAGTGAAACAGCCAGATGCAATGTTTGCAAGGCGGAGGTTCCGCGTGGTGGAAAGAACAGAGCTACGTTCAACACGACCAATCTAATACGCCACCTGAGAAACAAACACAAACAACAACACGACGAGTACACAGCGGTCACTCAGGTAATGGCACTGAAACAACCGACACTTTCAGAAAAATAACAGCCAAGATAGCTGAATTCATCGCGTTGGATGACCAGCCGTTATCTGTTACCTTTTTTTCTCTTAATGCATTGCATAAAGATCGGATCGGGAAAAATCGGTATCGGCAGATTGTCAAAATCAAATGATCGGAATCGGATCGGGAGCAAAAAAGGTGATCGGGACATCCCTATCTCTGATGCACCCAAAGATATGTGTGAAGAAATGTTTTCAACATTATGGTTTAAAACTGAAAAGAGCCAAAGTGAGGAAGTAACGATGATTTTGGATTATTACAGAAACTAAAGGCCCAGATACACCGGCCAGTCACCTGAGAAGTCGCCGACGCCGACTGTTGCGTCGCCGGACTCTCCTGCGTATTTGCCGACTTCGCGCACTGGAACACACCGCAAATCCGAGCCGAGCACGTATGAACTGCGTATGCGTGAGTGGCAATAACTCTCCTTACCAGCAGACGGCGGTAGTGTGTATTCATCATTCAAAAGAGGCAACAACCGGAACAACCGGAAGACAGAGAAGAAGAACAGACTCCGTGATATAAACANTACAAAACAAAAAGGACCATGTTCACGTCTTAAAGTCATCCTGAGGCCTTCGTTTTGGTCCCAAAAGAAGCAACACATACATGATGTTGTGTCATTTTAAACCAAAACGAAGGCCTCAGGATGACTTTAAGACGTGAACATGGTCCTTTTTGTTTTGTAACATTAAATAAAATAATAAAAATATTTTATAAAAAAAATTTAAAACAAAGAAAAAATCCCGATCCCCATTTTTTTTCTCCCGATTCCGACCTTTTGAAAATCACGTGATCTGCTCCGATCCCCGATCATGTGATCGGATCGGGACATCTCTAATTTATGACTTAATATTTGTTTAAAATAATGATATTCCCAACCACCTCAACCATTGCTCAGTGCAAATAAAGAGATGTTAGCATGATACCACGCTAAACTTAGCCATGTAGCTGCTTAACACTAGCATGTTACCAGGTGAGGGGTTTATCTTATTTAGACAGTGGAAAAAATAATAAAAATATATAATCCAAGAATCCACTCGATAGGTTTTGGGGATTTAGAAACGCTGACAAATACAAACACCTGAATGACGTAATGTGAAGCAATGCAATAGCCATACTGTCTCTAAATATTGACTATAACTTCAGTTGCTTTTCTTTTGAATCAACCCTGAAGCTGTACTTTGTGGACCAGTGTATATTTTTAACACTTTGTCCACATGATTTACATACTGCAGGCTGCCTGAAGGGAAGACCTCAGGGAAACCTTGCATTACAATACAATCTAATGGAACATCTCACACCCAGATGCAAAAATGATATTCATGATATTGGATTGAAACCGGTCCAGCAAGGTTAGTAGTAGCCTGTGCTGTATGGAGAAGAAGAGTATATTTTTTTCTGTCCTCACTTGGTGTGATACTGACACATAAATAAAAGCAAGAATTCAAACATACTCTTCCAGCTACAAACCCAGCCACAGTCCTCATCAGCTGACTTTCTATCAGCTGAGTGTAGTCACTGTAACAAGTCTCCTTTGTCTCGCAAAGCACTGAACTGACGTAAAATCTGCCAAAGAGGTCTAACACAAAAAACACGCTCCCACAACTGAATCAACTTATCCACACAAAACAGCCAAATGGTGTGAATGTGTACAGGCATGCACACCCGCACGCACAACTTCCTCCAACAAAAGACCTTTGTTTTTTCATGAGAAGCCCTGATTAGCGCGTGGACCACACACACACACAATCGCATTGACCTGGTCTGATACAACTCTGCAGACCATGAAAGAGAGCAGACGTAGCTTGGAGCGAAAACGGTTTTTCATATAAGCAAAAAATAATGACAGAGAAAGAGAACAAGGAAGGGTATTGATGTAGGGACAGAATAATGTGCTCTATATTCAAAGCAAATGCTGAGTTACCACCAAAACCTTATACTGTATGGACATTGATAGGTAGGCTGAAACGTGGCCCTCCACACCTTTATTAGCAGTGCTGCTTTTAGCAAGAATATATACACTGAACAAAAATATAAACGCAACACTTTTGTTTTTGCTCCCATTTTTCATGACATGAACTCAAAGATCTGAAAACATTTACTACATACACAAAATAACCATTTCTCTCATATTGTTCACAAATCTGAAAAAATCTGTGATAGTGAGCACTTCTCCTTTGCCGAGTTAATCCATCCCACCTCACAGGT